CACATGCATGCACACACACACCCGGAAATAGAAAGCGACGTAAGATTACACATTGTTGACGGGAGGGAGGGCTGCAAGTAGTTAAAAAAAACACAATTTCTCTCAATCATTTTTTAAAACATTTAAAAAAAATTAAATTTTTTTTTTTTCATCAGAGTAGTACAACGTTACCATAGTAACATTGTACTACTCTGGGGGGATGATCAGGGATTTTTTTTTATTACACTTTGCATTGCATGAGCAAAGAAGATCATTTTTCTGCAATGCAAAGCTTGCTTCTCATTCAGGATTCTCATTCTGCTGTGTCCAGTGGATGAGGGGAGGTAGGTTTGCATGCCCACTTGGGTGCACAGTGCCCCCCTGTGTTGGCAAAAGTCCAGCTACCGCCCGTCTGCAGTACGTTGCTGGCGGGCAGCCCGAAAGTGGTTAAAGTGTACCTATCAATCAGTACAATATGTATCATGTAATGTTTACCATTTTGTGCTTAATAAAAGCTGTAAAAGCTGTTGTACCATCCTTGATCCTTGCACTTTGTGGCAGAATGAATGTATAAAATGTAATGGGAATTATAGAAGGCTGCGGTAGGGGGGGAAGTTGGGACACAGGGCACCATTTAGTCTAAACCTGACCACATGTGGAGCTCTAATATAAAAGTGGTCTATTCTTTGTCATTTGAAATCCATTGTTAAAATATGACCTTCACAAGAGGAAAATAAAGTTGAAGAAAGGGTGGGGCTATATTTCAGTGAATTTAGAAAGGTACTCTTCCCAGTAACCAGCATATCGGTTTTTTACCTGAAAAGTGTTTAGGTATTATGAGTAATTCTATGGGTAATCAGGAACACATAATTTATAGCATTGACATCCATGGGCTACCTGGGGCCCAACCTTACCCACTTGCCATAAGTGGCAGTTACAAGAGTGGTGTAATTTTCTTCCTAGTCCTCCTGTTCTTTGCAGTACCATTGCCTTCATGGATGTCCTGAATCCATAGCTTATCTAAGCTGACTTATACTTGCACATGGGTGATCAGGAATACATCATTTATAGCATTGACATCCATGGACTACCACAGTCCCAACCATACATTGACTGCACCCACTTTCCGTAAGTGGAAGTTCGAGGAGTGGTGTCATTCTCTTCCTAGTCCTCTTCTCCTTTGCAGTGGCCATTGCCTTCACATATGTCCTGAATCCATAGCTAATCTAAGCTGACTTACATTTGCACATCACAAAATACAAAACAATAGAAGTTGAGAAACTGTACTTTAGATGAGGGTACTTTGTAGATGGCTGAAAGACTTTGTAATGAAAATGTTTACAAACTGGACCATCTTCTAATTTACATTGGTTTGAAAGTGGATCAGAAACTGTGAAGATTTTCTATCTCATAGAATAGCAATTGCAACTAATTCTATGCCCTCGGCTTAATTTGAATTTTCTACTCATTTTTTAAATTTTGAATCATTCTGCTAAACAAAGGCAAACTGTATGAAACCGCCACTCCAAAAATGGTGCTTTTTGGATGCAGACCTGAGCTCTCCAACAATATTGCTTCAGTAGTTGAAGCACATAGACTGGCATAGTACCACTGGATTGGCGTAAGGCCAATGTGGTGCCTATATTTAAAAAGGGATCAAAATCTTTACCAAGTAATTATAGACCTGTTAGTTTAACATCCATAGTTGGGAACATACTGGAGAGATTAATAAAAGACCACATAGATGAGTTCTTGCTGGAAAAAATATTGACAGACATTGTCAAACAAATCTGATTTCTTTTTATGAGGAGGTGAGCAAAACCTTGGACAGAGGGGTGGCAGGTGGACGTGGTATACTTGGATTTTGCAAAAATGTTTGACACAGTTCTCCACACACAGTATGTAATGGATAAAAAATATAAAAATTCTGATAGTAGTTGTTAATGATTCATACTTTTTAATATATTTATAAACAGGGGCGGACTGACCATTTGGAAACTCGGGCACTGCCCGAGGGCCCGGGTCAGTGGGGGCCCCATGAGATGCCCCTGGTACCTTTTTCATAGGCTTTTTTGAGTTTGGGCAAGGAGACGGGCCCCATGATCCCCTATTGCCTGGGGGCCCCATGAGTTGTCAGTCCGCCCCTGTTTATAAACTATACAGGGTCTGGGATTAAAAATACCATTTCAGTCTTTGCAGATGACACCAAGCTGTGCAGTGGAATAACGTCCTTACAGGATGTCTCCAACTTACAAGCCGACCTCAATGCACTGTTTAATTGGACAACTATGTGGCAAATGAGGTTTAATGTTGATAAATGTAAGGTTATACACTTGGGGGCTAAGAATATGCATGCATCATACATACTAGAGGGAGTGCAACTGGGGGAATCAATGGTGGAAAAGGTTCTGGTAGATCATAAGCTGAATAATTGCATGCAATGCCAAGCTGCGGTTTCTAAAGCGAGCAAAATCCTTGCTTATATTAAAAGAGGTATAGACTCCAGAGAGAGAGATCATTTTACCCCTGTACAAATCATTAGTAATACCTCATCTGGAATATGCAGTTCAGTTTTGGGCACCAATTCACAAAAAGAACATTGGGGAACTGGAGAAAGTGCAGAGAAGGGCAACCAAACTGATACGAGGCATGGAGGAGATCAGCTATGAGGAGAGATTAGAGGAACTGGATTTATTAAGGGGGGATATGATCAACATATATATATATACATCAGTGGTTCATATAGTGAACTCGGTGTAGAGTTATTCACCCTGAGGTCACCACAGAGGACAAGGGGGCACTCTTTATGTCTGGAGGAAAAGAGATTTTGTCAGGGCTCTCCCCGGGTATGACCAGAGGTGTGTGACTGACGCAGGGAAACGCAGACTTCAGATATGTTATAAACAATATAATTTATTAACACTAACAATACAAACATAAACGCAGTGCAATACTAAAACATAACACAGTGCAAACAAACCAAACCAACCACCCACAGATGACAGTACATACAATGCAAGCGCGTCGTCAAGCAGGCCGGGTCAATATCAATCGGGCAGGTAGGTACAGGGGGAGCAAGCAGAGAATGGTCGGGGTCACAAGCCAGGTTCAGCAGGTAGCGGGCAGCATGGTACAGAGCGTCAGGCAGAGGAGAATGGTCAGACAAAGCCAGGGATCAGAAGCAGGAGAATGGTCAGACAAAGCCAGGGATCAGAGCAGGGTCAGCAACGAATCAGACAGGAACAGGAACAGGGAGCAGGAACAGGATACAGGGCCCAGGAGAAACACACACCAAGGCAGAGTCTGCAGGTCTGGTCATCCCTTAAATACACCAGTATAATCAGTTCCAGGTGTTTGACTGGCTGCAAGGTTGAGTCTCTGATTGCTGGAGAGCACCCGCTGGCCAGCCCTGGTACTGCAGCTCATAAGGCAGGTGAGTCCCACCATTGCTGGCCAGTCCATTCCTGACAGTACAGTACCCCCCCCCTCAAGGAGCGGCCTCAGGACGCTCCAAACAGTCCTAGCTGGGCAAAATGTTCCACCGCCCGGGTCTGGTAACTGGCGGGATATCAAAGACTGGCACACCGGGCAGGACTCCGGGCAGCGGCACACCGGGCAGGGGCACACACTGGGCAGAGGCACACCGGGGCACACCGGGCACAGCAGAGGCACACCGGGCAGAGGCACATCGGGCAGAGGCACATCGGGATCGACTCTGGGCAGAGGCACATCGGGCTGGACTCTGGGCAGAGGCACATTGGGCTGGACTCCGGGCAGAGGCACATCGGGCTGGACTCCCGGGCAGAGGCACATCGGATTACCAGGCAAAGCAGCAGGCAGCGGGCCACCAGGTGGAGCAGCAGGCACCGGGCCACCGGGCGGAGCAGCAGGCACCGGGCCACCGGGCGGAGCAGCAGGCACCGGGCCACCGGGCGGAGCAGCAGGCACCGGGCCCCCGGGCGGAGCAGCAGGCACCGGGGCCCCCGGGCGGGGCGACAGGCACCGGGCCCCCAGGCGGGGCGACGGGCATCGGGCCCCCAGGTGGGGCGACAGGCATCGGGCCCCCGGGCGGAGCAGCAGGCACCGGGCGGCAGCAGCAGGCACCGGGCCACCGGGCGGCAGAGCAGCAGGCACCGGGCCACCGGGCGGAGCAGCAGGCACCGGGCCACCGGGCGGAGCAGCAGGCACCGGGCCACCGGGCGGAGCAGCAGGCACAGGGCCACCGGGCGGAGCAGCAGGCACCGGGCCACCGGGCGGGGCGACAGGCACCGGGCCCCCGGGCGGGGCGACAGGTCTCGGGCCCCCAGGCGGAGCGGCGGGCGCCGGACCCCCAGGCGGAGCGACAGGTCTCGGGCCCCCAGGCGGAGCGGCGGGCGCCGGACCCCCAGGGCGGAGCGACAGGTCTCGGGCCCCCAGGCGGAGCGACAGGTCTCGGGCCCCCAGGCGGAGCGACAGGTCTCAGGCCCCCAGGCGGAGCGACAGGTCTCAGGCCCCCAGGCGGAGCGACAGGTCTCAGGCTCCCAGGCGGAGCGACAGGTCTCAGGCCCCCAGGCGGAGCGGCGGGCGCCGGACCCCCAGGCAGAGCGGCGGGCGGGCGCCGGACCCCCAGGCGGAGCGACAGGTCTCGGGCCCCCAGGCGGAGCGGCGGGCGCCGGACCCCCAGGCGGAGCGACAGGTCTCCGGCCCCCAGGCGGAGCGACAGGTCTCAGGCCCCCAGGCGGAGCGACAGGTCTCAGGCCCCCCCAGGCGGAGCGACAAGTCTCAGGCCCCCAGGCGGAGCGACAGGTCTCAGGCCCCCAGGCGGAGCGACAGGTCTCAGCCCCCAGGCGGAGCGGCGGGCACCGAGTCACCAGGCACGACAGTGGGCTCCGAGTCAACTGGCATGACCTCTGGCACTGGGTCAGACATTGGATCGTCTGGCTGGACAGCGGGCATCGGGTCACCAGGCATCAGGTCATTTGGCTCGACAGCGGGCACCGCGTCATCTGGCAAGGCAGTGGGCTCCGAGTCAACTGGTATGACCGCGGGCACTGGGTCAGACATTGGATCGTCTGGCTGGACAGCGGGCATCGGGTCACCAGGCATCAGGTCATTTGGCTCAACAGCGGGCACCGCGTCATCTGGCAAGACAGTGGGCACCAAGCCACCAGGCACGACAGTGGGTTCTGAGTCAATTGGCACGACAGCGGCACCGGGTCATCAGGTACCGGATTGTCTGCTCGACAGCGGGCATCGGGTCATCAGGTATGACAGCGGGCACTGGGTCACCAGGCATCAGGTCATTTGGCTTGCCAGCGGGCACCGCGTCATCTGGCAAGGCAGTGGGCACCGGGTCACCAGGCATTGGATCGTCTGGCTCGACAGCGGGCATCGGGTCACCAGGTATGACAGCGGGCACTGGGTCACCAGGCATCAGGTCATTTGGCTCGCCAGCGGGCACCGCGTCATCTGGCAAGGCAGTGGGCACCGAGTCACCAGGTACGACAGCGGGCTCTGAGTCAATTGGCACGACAGCGGGCACCGGATCAGGTACCGGATCATCTGGATGGATCAGTTCATCATGCTGGGTAGAGGCATCAGGCTGAGTGGAGGCATCAGGCTGAGTGGAGGCATCAGGCTGAGTAGAGGCATCAGGCTGAGTAGAGGCATCAGGCTGAAGACAGGCATCAGGCTGGGTACAGGCATCAGGCTGGGTACAGACCTCAGGCTGAAGTGCAGGTGCCGAGGCACCAGGCTGAACCACGGAAGGCAGGTTCTCAGACGGCAGGCTCACCGGTTTGGATACTGACAGGATGGTACTGGTTGGAAAGAATTTTCGCTTTTTTTCTGGTTTTAACTACTGGAGCACTGCAAGTAAACGCAGGTCTGCAAACTAATGGAGCAGCTGGAGACAGAGAAGAGCTGGAGGATGGAACAGGGGAGGGAACAGTTGCTACAGAGGGCTTTTTTACAGGGTTAAAGGCAGGATAGGTGCAGCGAGTGGGAACAGGGTACTGACATGCGGTAGATAGCAGGGCAGGAGGGAGCTGTTGGGAATGCAGGAATAGAGCTTTGAGGAAATAGATTAGAAGCAGAACTGGGTTTTTGTAAGCTGACTGAGGCTGGGTGCAACAAATCTGTTCATTGACTCCTGCTGCCTTTCCTCCTGGGTAAATGCACCTTTCTCCTACCTCCACTCTTAACTCCAAAACGCATTGACTCCTGCTGCCCCCCCGACAGCCACAACAACAGCAAGAAGCCTCCTACTAGCAATGCTGGAAGACTGCATAGCAAACAACCTGGGAAAACCCTCGCCCCATCCCTTCCCCCCCACCCGCCCACCCTCACCCATCCCCCCCCCTGCCCCCCCCGACCACCCCCGACCTCCCAACGTTCCTCCCCCGACAGCATCCTCAACCCCCATCTAGTCCCCCAACACCCACCCACCCCCCTACATTCGCCCCAACCACCCCACCCGCGCGCTATCCCACTCCCCATTCCCCTTTCCCACCTCCCCTCCAATTCCCCCCCCCTTCCCCTCCTCCGAAACCCAAAATCCCTTCACTATAAACCCTTTGCCCCTCCCAAACATTTGTTTTATCGTGCCCACTGCTTCCCCACCCCCCCTATGGCACCCACCACCTCCCCCTATTACTTCCCCCCTCCCCACTGACCCCAACCAAAACC